TCAGTGTATATAAAATTTGATAGTGTAAAATTTCTCTATATTTTTTATTAGCGCATATAATAATAATTTATTATTTGAATATTTTTAGAAGGGAAGAAAATAATAATGCAAAAAGTAATAGCCCTGGCCTCCAAATGATCAACTACCAAGCTGGCCAAAGATGGTTGGTGGGGATCAAGAATAGGGATTGGACGCGGTGCAACATCGAGTTTATCCGAATCTAATTATTTTTTGATATAAAAAATAAATTTATGTATAAAAAAAAGTTAGAATTATAATAAATAGTATGTAAGTCTTAAATATAGTGAATTCAATACTAGCTAGAAACCGTGATAATTGAATAAATTAATCGAGTTTAAATTTCGAATACCGTCTCTTCATATATATGAATCATATCCCCATCAAATCATACATAAATATCAGTATAATGTTATCTCAGATCTTCTTTTTGATCTTCTATAATTTCTTGGGGTCCTTCTTTATTTTATTCATCACTTTTTTTTTGGGTTTTAGGGTTTGGCCACTTATGGGTATAGAGCAAAGTTGGAAGAATGATGAATTGATGTGGTACTTTCTCTTCTCTTTTTTGGGGCTTTTCCATCCGGTATTTGGTATCCGTATTAGAGTTTGATTATTTTGGATTTGCGTTGTATAGGGCCCCACTTGGGGGAAAGAGCTCCCTACCAAAAAGTTTTCCATACACAAGACTCGAACTCAAGCCTTCTGGTTAAGGAAGGAGCAGTCTCATCCACTACGTCCTACGGTGATGTGGTACTATCTCATTCCAAAGCCATCAGTATTATTTTGTACTGTTTAATAAAACCTAATAAGAAAGGCCAAAACCCTAGCTAGCTCTCGAATCCTGTCATGAAAAGAAGAGAAAGCTCCATAAAACCAAGCTCATGCACATGCACCCACCTCTTTTTAGTTCTTTCCAATGAATTTGCACTTGAGAGGGACAAGTGGTGGGGGTCATGAAATAGGTGCGTCGATTCAGAATTTCGGAAAGATAGATGAAATACTATACGAATATGTGAGTTCAAAATTTTAAAAATTTTATACGTTACTTTTGAAACTCATTGCAATTTAATTTGAAATTGTAGGTTCACAAATTGTTTTTGTTGAAATTTTAGTGATTTCTAACATGTATATGTATAGTTCATGTTGAAATAATGAAATTAATTAAACTCATAGACTGTTTGTTACATCATACACGGCTACTTATAAAGATACTTGATTTGATTATATGAAATTATACAAATTACAAAAATTAGAATGGAGATTTCAACGCGTCACAATAGATTTCGAGTTTCAAGTTCTGAGAAGATAAAACCCCTCGACAAAAGAGCATTTTCTCTTAAATGAATCTCGACAAGTGAGGCTTGCTCAAGTGGAAGATTTGAGTCACGTTGATTTTTTTGAATATCATGGTTCTTCAATTTAATTCTTGTTTTTTTATTTATTTGGTGTTATTGGACTAGATTGATGATTGTTTCATGTGTTGGCGTTTGGAGGCTTTATTTCAAATTTGAAATCATTTGAAGTAGCGTTATAATGTGGCTTAATCGAAATTGAAATTACAAATACAAAGAATATCAGGTTGAACAACACAAATATAAATCATGTCAATCCAATTGGATTTGAATAACATAACAAGATAGGTCAAATGAAGATAACACAAAGTTATATTAATCTAACAAAATTTGGTGAACAATTGAAAACACGCATAAAATCATGTCATTTCATAGAATTTTTGTGAGTTGTCCTACAAATTTGTCATGACCTACCAAACTTAAAAATATTTTAGTCTAAACATTTTCATTAAACTTGAAAAGGCCATTAATACATAAAAATCCATACAAAAATATCCCTTTTATGCAAATCACCTACAAACTCTACTTGCGCATTTTTCAAATATGTTCTGAAACCTGAGTTTTCTTCGATTGAAGGTATATTAAAAATAATATTTTTATCTTTTAAAAATAGAAATAAGATTTATATACAATTCATCTAACTTTTCAAATTTCACTTCACTGACGAAACTATACTGAGTATGTTATTATTATATTATATCCACAAACTCTACTTGTCAAAGCTAACCATCTCCAATCCACCTCTATTTTACTCTCCATTCTCTATATTTGGAGAGTAAAATAGAGAATGGGCACTCCAACCGACCTCTATATCACTCTCTATTCTTCATATTTAGAGAGGTGAATAGTAGTTCTATTCACACTCTCTATTTCACTTTTTGATTATTTTATTGTTATTTATATTACTTCTAATTAACATATTATTTTACATTTAATGTCATTAATTATATATCTAATAGTCACAATTATTTTTAAATGTAATACAATATTTTTAAAAATATATTATTTAATATATACTACTTTCATCCCGAATTAATAGTATTTTATTTTTTTCTAATTTTCATCAATAATATAATTTTATTTTATTATTAATTATCACTAAAAAGAATACACAAATTAAAATGATAAGATGAAAATTTTAGTTTGAAAATACAATACATAATATGATGATTTAAATACAAGATAATAATACAATACATAACACAATAATTTAAATATAAGATAAAATACAATACATAATATAATAATTAATTCGCGATAAAACAAGAATCATGCCGAAAAGATGTTGAACGTGCATTCGGAGTTTTGCAATTATTGCAAGACCGTCACGTTTTTGGAGAAAGGAAGTGCTACATGATATAATGACTACATGTATTATACTGCACAACATGATAATTGAGGATGAACGTGATCCTAATGCACTAATTCAAGATGTCGTAGAGGCTCCAACTCCAACGGAATAAATGGTGGTAGATGAAAATCTCCGATTTGAACAATTTTTAGCTAGACATAAAAAAAATTAAGGACAAAAATGCTCATTTTGAACTCCTTAATGCATTAATAGAGCATTTATGGGTAATGGGAACAACATAATAATTTCAAAAATTGAGTATTTATGTAATTGTATTTCACGTTTATTTGAATTTGTCCATTAATTTGTATTTTATATAATACTTTCTTGCAGTTTATGTTATTTAAAAATTTAGAATAAAATATAATTTTATATTAAATAAAAAATTTGAAAAAATATAATTTTATATCACATGAAAATTATATAAAGTAATTATTGGGCAAAAATAAAGGATTTATATTATGAAATAAGAAAAAGAAAAATGAAATATAAATAATAATATAATATTGAGGAGAGAGAAAAAGATTCATTTTTAAAGAGTAAAATAGAGAATATGATTGGAGTTAATTGTCTGAAAAAATATAAAACTTTATATTTGGAGAGTAAAATAGGATATAGGGTTGGAGATCAGGAGATGCCCAAGAAAGATTTTTGGTATTTGTTTAAAGCAAATGTTAGGGAAGTAGAATGGATAGAGAAATAAAGTGGGGTCAATATACTTGGCAATCAAGGTGGTGTTAGCCATGGGTTTTCAGCTGGCAAGTATGGGCATATTTGTGGCTAAAAACTCAAGTTATTACTACCCTAGGGTAGCCCTAGGATGGGGTCCAATATAAAATATACTTTATTATCAATTATTTGTTATAACATGTTAAAATAAAATGGATAATATATAAATTATTTATACGGTCAGAATTTAAGTTGATAAAGAGAAGTCTTGAAATAACGATAAAGTATTTTATGGTTTATAAGTTATGAGTTTAATTCAAACAATGAAATCAGTCATTGATGCAATATAAAATAGAATTAAATCGAACTAGCTACCTCTAAAATAAGGCATGCAATGTAAGATATACAATATTATCGGTAATTTGTTATAACAAGATAAAATAATTTGATAATATATAAATTATTTATACCGTACTATCAGAATTTAAGTTGATGGAGAGGAGTTTTGGAGCAGCGATAAAGTCTCATGCAATTTATAAGTTATGAATTTGAGTGATGAAATCATCCATCGATAACGTTCCTTTGAGATATGACTCTTCCTTGGATTTTGCATGAACTTGTCATATTTCGCGCATCGAGCTATCTTTTTTACGAAATAAGCTAATCCAACTTAGAAATGATCTCCTATAGGCCCCAACTTATACATATTTGCTATGTCCAAGTCAGCTTTCTAGCTTGACCTTCTAAAGACTTTTTCATTATTAATTCTTGAATATATATAAAAGTGGAGTATAGTGTACTTCTAATATTTTAGTATATGATACAAAAATAGTTTATTGAATTAATATTAATTTTGAAATAAAATAATAGTTGTCAGAGTTTAGCTTATGATTTGAGAAGGACCCCATTTGAAAAGGCATTAACTTCCCACCTTCTATCAAATGCCCCTTTCATATATCTCACTACCAAAACTTCTATTTAAACACCTTCCACCCTCTCTTTACTACATTCAAATCAAACTACTTCAATTCTTCTCTTCTCTTTCTTTACTACATTCACAACTTCAAATACACATTCACTTATTGATCTTGTTGCTACGATCCACTGAGATTCAGTTCTTTACTATATCGTGTTCAAGTACTCATCCACCATCATTGTTCAATCAAATTTTGAATAAAAAAATACGTCCGTGTTCTGCTTTCAGAGTCAGCACTCAACATTTTCACTAGAAAAAAAAACCAAATTCCTCCTATTTCAAGTCATCAAACACTATCATTGCTCGATTAAAATCCAGAATAGCAGAAATAGGTTCGTGTGCTGCTTCCAAAGTCGATCGTCGAATTTTCACAAGAAAATACCACTTCAAAAACAAACTTAAACCAACTTCCTCTTCTTTCAAGTCTTCACACCACTACCATTGCTCAATTAAAATTCAGAGTAGCAGAAATAGGTTTGTGTTCTGCTTTCAAAGTCAGACATCGATTTTTTCCACTAGTCAAAACCATTTCAACAACAAACTCAAACAACCTTCCTCTTCTTTCAAGTCTTCATACACTACAATTACAAAAACACGCTCGTGTTCTACTTTCAAAGTCTGTCGTTGAATTATGGTTAGCTTCAATGGTCAAGATTTGTTTCTAGTAGATGTGTATGGGTAAATGGTCCTGTTATTGTAGGTGCAGGGCCATCAGGACTTGCTGTTGGTGCTTGTTTAAAAGAACAAGGTATCCCTTTTGTAATCTTGGAAAAATCAGATTGTATTGCATCTCTATGGCAAAAAAAAACTTACAATAGATTAAAGCTACACCTCCCTAAACAATTTTGTCAATTACCCAAATTTCCATTCCCACAACACTATCCTGAGTACCCTACAAAGAAACAATTCATTGATTATCTTGAATCATATGCTAGAAAATTTGACATCAATCCAATGTTTAATGAGTGTGTTCAATTTGCAAAATATGACCAAATTTGTAAATTGTGGAGGGTGAAAACTATTTCACCAAATGGCTTAGAAGTTGAGTATATTTGTCAATGGCTTGTTGTGGCTACAGGGGAAAATGCTGAAAAAGTTGTGCCTAATATTGAAGGATTAGAAGAATTTGGAGGTGAAGTTATTCATGCTTGTGATTATAAGTCTGGTGAGAAGTTTAGTGGGAAGAAAGTTCTTGTTGTTGGTTGTGGGAATTCTGGCATGGAAGTTTCTCTTGATCTTTGCAATCATAATGCTCAACCATCATTGGTTTGTCGTAGCTCGGTAAGTTATACACACTGACAGTAGTATTAGTATTTTGGGTTAGTAATTCCACTTAATATGGACGATTTATCTCTAGTTATCTTTCAAGTGACTTGATAATGTAAAAGTCCTTTTATACAGTATCTTTTATAACTGATAAAGTACAAGAATTTGCACACTATCAGGTCATACAAAAGATAGTAGTCATAAAAAGTGAGATTAGTTACCTAAAGGACGAGACAGATAACCTATTACAACATGTTAAAATATGTTAAATCCTTTTTGTATTTTCTTATAACAAACAATAAAGTTTGGATTCTAATGGAATTTGTTCTTTTATTTTCTTCTTCAGGTTCATGTATTGCCAAGAGAAATTTTTGGGAAATCAATATTTGAATTGGCTATGTTTATGATGAAATGGTTACCATTGTGGCTAGTTGACAAAATTTTACTAATTTTGACATGGTTCATTCTTGGTAACATTGAGAAATATGGACTCAAAAGGCCAAAAATTGGTCCTTTGGAACTCAAGAATACACAAGGGAAAACTCCTGTTTTGGACATTGGTGCATTGGAAAAAATTAGATCAAGAAAAATCAATGTTGTCCCTGGAATCAAGAGGTTTTCATGTGGCACTGTTGAACTTGTCAATGGTGAAAAACTCGAAATTGATTCTGTTGTTCTTGCTACTGGTTATTGCAGCAATGTCCCTTTTTGGCTAAAGGTGAGAAAATGTTCTATTTTTCTCAATTTTTTTGGATCTTTCTTTTTTATTTAGGCTTAGTACCTCAATTAACATGTTCGTTCTCAAACAGACACCTTCACTTGGTCAAAACACGTATTTTCATAAATTAAAAAGACCAAGTTAAACAGTGTGTGTTTGAGAATTTGTGAAGTTAAGCGGTCATCACTAGAAAATCGTGCAAGTACGAATGTCAAATTGAAAAATATTGAAACTTTTGGATGCTCCTTTTTATTTATGTTTAGGTTTAGTACTTGCACAAACTTCTAGTGTTGAACAGTTAACTTGATGGATTCTCAAACAGACACCTTAGCTAGGTCTAAACACATCGTCAATAAGACCAAGTTATAGTGTTTGTTTGAAAATCAGTCAAGTTAAGGGTTCGGTACTAGAAAGTCGTGTAAGTACATGTGTCAAATTGACTTTGAACTTTTTATGAATGATTCTTGAATAGTTGACTAATATTATTTTGTAATTTTTTTTTATATAGGAAAGTGAATTCTTTTCCAAAAATGGATTCCCAAAAGCACCATTTCCAAATAGTTGGAAAGGAAAATCTGGGCTATATGCAGTTGGTTTCACAAGGAGAGGGCTATCAGGTGCTTCTGCTGATGCTATCCAAATTGCACAAGATATTACCAAAGCTTACAATGAAGATATTATGCAAAAGAAGCAAAAAATCTCAACCTTGTGATTTAATTGAATCATATAGAGATTAATTTTGTGAAAAAATAGGTAGCATAGATAGATTAGCCCTCTCCAAAAGCCCAAGTTTTGGTATAGTTTGGGAGTTTTTGAATTATATGTTGTCAGATCCTCCAAAAGAAAAAAGGTTAGGTGGAAAGTACTTGCACAAGTTGTCAGGTCCTCCAAAAAAGAAAACAAGTTCTTTTTTGGGGACGCGGTGTTTGGGTTGAGTTTCCCGAGCATGATGAGGTGGTCTAGTTTTTTTAATTTTCCCTTTTTACCCCTTTTTGAACTTTGACTTTAGTGTTCACTTGCGTTGATATTTTTGTACATATTTGTACAATTACTACTGATTATTAATCAAAGTGACAAAGATATTTCTTTATTGTTCAAAGTAGCCTTGGTATGATTTGATTGTTCTGAATTTCATGTTTATCTTTAACTAATTTTGGTCTAATGATATAGAGGAGTGTAGCGCGTGATATGTGGATTTGACTGCACGTCATAGGTCTAAACTTTAACGTCACAAATAACTTTTTTGTATTTAAATGAAAAAGAGTAGAAGGGCGGATCCATCACGTTTCATAATATATCTCATTGGCTCTCATGAATTTTTCGATTATATTGATTTTTTGTTAAAAGTTGTACAATTGCTAGTTGATTAATCAAAGTGACAAAGATATTAGTTATTGTTCAAAGTAGCATTTGATTGTTCTAAATTTCATATTTATCCTTACTTATTAGCACTGTCCCTAAAACTTTGGTCTAATGATAGGAGTACACCTGATGTATGAATTATGCACACGTCGTACGTCTGAATGCTACCACAAATAAAATTTTGATATTTAAGTGAAAAAAATAAAAGTGGTGGCAATTATCACGCCTAGTTACAAAATACCTTGGGAATTTCTCAAATTATCAAAAAGAAATTAAATTAGCAATGATGTAGACCACAAAGATTGGGAGATACACTAGATAAGTCTCAAATATAAAAAATAAAAAAAATGAAAAAATTTATTCACAAGTCATATTGGTGAAGCTTTGAATGAAATTCAGAAAAACTTGAATGAAGAAAATGACTCTTCAATTTGCTCACTTTATATGCATAATTTTCAATGCAATAAATAGAATATGATTTGTATTACAAAAGGAATGTCCTATTTCAAGTTCTTTTCAATTAGTCATACTCAGTACAGTTATGAAGTTTTTGGATAGCAACTAGTCATCATTTCAACACCCTTTGTACACATATATGCATTTACAAAAGAAGATTTTGTTGGATACCTTAGAAGGTGAATTCAGAATTTAAATCGGTTAGTGAAATAACACGAATACATTATTCAATTGTTTGAGATAATTATAAGTGTGAACTTAATAAAGTATAATATTTTAAATATTTTTTAATGCATACATAGTTCAAGTAGAAAGAAAAAAGTATGTCGCTGCACATAATGATCAATATCGGCCCCATATCATGATTATGAAGTGTTACGATAATCATATTTTTTAATTACATCGTCAATGGATAAGAGTTATGTGTTTTTTGAAAATTACTTTTAAGTATGGATCATGGTATATCCAAAATGATATGACGAAATTATGACAAGAACTTAATTATAAAGGAATAGTTGATCAGAATCAGTTTGAAAAGAAAGGAGTGAATTCATCAAATTTATCGAATTTTCTTGAATTGTACCTATAGTCAAAATAGTTATGAACGAAGCAAAGGTATTGTTGTATCATATTGTCATATTATTAGACAATGGCACGAAAAATAAATATATAGTTATTAAATGACACGATCGTGTTTTCTAAAATTACTTCCGTATGCATCATGGCATATACAAAATGATATGACAAAATCGTGAAAAGAACATATATGAAGTTAGTTGATTAGAGTTACTTCAAAAGAAAAGAGTAAACAACTCATCAAATTTCTCTAATTTTCCTAAATTGTACCTATAGACGAAATAGTTGACCCAAGAACAATGATGTCGTTGTATCATATTGTCGTATTATCAGACAATGGGTGCAAAACATATATATATATATATATATATATATATAATATATATATATATATATTATTATTTTTTTAAATGACACGATAATATTTTTTACATCATCAATAGACAAAACTTAGTACACTATTTTTTTTTTCTAAAACTATTTCTGTATGCATCATATGGCATAATGATATGACAAAATTGTGAAAAGAACTTATAAGAAGTGAGTTGATCAGAGTTACTTTAAAAAGAAAAGAATTAACTCATCAAATTTCTCCAATTTTCTTGAATCGTACCTATAGTTGAAATAGTTGTGTCATATTTTTGTATTATTAGACAGTGGCACGGGAAATATATATTAATAGATAGATATTTAATGGTATGATCATATTTTCTATATAGTCGATAGATAAAGCTTAGTATACTTCTTTCATTTTCTAAATTACTTCTATATGCATCAAGGCATATCCAAAATGATATGAAAAAATTGTGAAAAGAACCTATAAAGGGATAGTTGATTAGAGTTACTTCGAAAATAAAACAAGTAAATTTATCGAACTTCTTCAACTTTTTTTGAATTGTACCTACAGTCAAAGTCATTGTATCATATTGCCATATTATTAGACAATGATACAAAAAATACTCATTTTTTTCCTTTGTAAAATTACTTTCGTATGGATCATGGCATATCCAAAATAATGTGATAAAATCATGAAAAGAACTTATATGGAGATAGTTGATCAGAATTACTTTGAAAAGAAAAGAGTAAGCTCATTGAATTTCTCCAACTTTAATTTCTTGAATTGTTCCTATAGTCAAAGTCGTTGTATGATATTGTTGTATAATTAGACAATGGCATGGAAAATACATATATAGTTATTAACTGACACGATCGTATTTTCTACATCATCAATAGATAAAACATAGTATTCTTTTTTTCTTTCTAAAATAACTTTTGTATGGATCATGGCATATCCAAAATGATATGATAAAATCATGAAAATAACTTACAGAGGGATAGTTGATTAGCATTACTTCGAAAAGAAAAGAGTAAGCTCATCGAATTTCTCCAACTTTCTCGAATTGTACCTATAGTCAAAGTCGTATAATATTGTTCGTATATAGTTATTAAATGACACGGTGATGTTATCTACATCATCAATAGATAAAACTTAATATACTTTTTTTTCTTTTCCCTTAAAATTACTTTTGTATGGATCATGCCATATCAAAAAGAATAGACAAAATCATGAAAATAACTTATAAAGGGATAGTTGATTAAAATTACTCGAAAATAAAAATGTAAGCTCACCAAATTTCTCAAGTTGTACCTATAATAATCAAAGTCATTGTCACGCCCTGAGCCTACATCCTGGACGTAGCTAGCACTTGAGAACCATTGCTGGCCCCAAGCGAACCCTTGGTCTGGCTTACTTACTCAGCGGAAAACTTAGACATAAGAAAGAGAATCCAAATACAAGATAACTCAACATGTCTCAAACTGAACTCATAATGTTTTAAAAATAAACATTTAACTTAGCCAAAATGGCAACTCAATTCTGAACATAAGCCAATAACAAAATGATGACGAATGAACTAACATCTAACTGACTATCTATGAAGCCTCTAAAACAACTAAGATGGATGTCGGGACAGGCCCACGACATCCTAATGAACTAAAATGATAACGTAATGAAAAAGGGGAATCCTCCGGAAGCAAGGAGGCTCACCAACAACTCTGAAGCTCAACTGGATCAACGATGCGCTGGATGCTGATCATGGTTACCTGCGTCTGCATCATAATAAGATGCAGGCCAACTGGCATCAGTACATTGAATGTACGAGTATGCGACTTGGAATGCTAAACACAACATAGGCTTAAAAAGAATCTAAAAGGAACTGAAGAACTTACCTGGCTCAACTCAGTTCAACATAACTAAACTCATTTCAATATAAAGCAGTTTAAAAACAAGTGCAATATAAAGAAAAATTGTTTAAAACATGATGTCAACTCTGTTTGTATGCAAATATACATATAACTCTGAGATGTATGTAAAAATACAAGTAAACTGATGTATATAAGAATATAAAATACTATTGTGGAAATTTCTCTAACCGACAACCATCACTTAAGAGCTATAGTGATGATACAACACTTTACCTCACGCTGCCAAGGACCATCATAAACCTTGCCGGGGGTATAGGACCTAACTCACTAAGTGGATCCACTAGTCTATGCTACAAAGCACTAAGGGTTCATCTAAAAAGTATGACCCTTTTCTACCTATGATGACTACATGGTTTTATAAGGGCTGTGGGTTCCTTGAACGCTCCCCCATATCGGTGCTCAATACTACTCCCAAAATATGATACTAGCTCTTTATGTTTAAAAACATACTTCTTTTTGTGGTTTGAGATAATTGCTCAAAAACTTAGCTCAAAGGCTATCTTGGAAATCAAGGTTTCCTCTCTTTGCTTTATTGTGAAAACATTTACTCTTTAACTGAAAACTAGCCCAAAGGCTCTTCACTGAAAAACTAGCTCAAAAGCTCTTTTGGAAATCTTAGTTTCCGTTCTTATTTAAATGTGAAAACATTTTAAACTCTTTTGGGAATACATAGTCCCCATATACTTTTGAAGAAATGAACTTCAACTTTACTCTTTACTCAACTCAAACTCAAGTCTTAAAACAAAGTTAAAACATTTGTAAAAGACTTTTGGAAAACTTTATGAACTTCTCTTGACTTTTCTTGACTTGACTCTTAACTTCTCTTGACTTTGATCTTAACCACTCTTGACTTGACTCTTAACTGGTCCTTGAATTGGATTATGGATTTAAGGATTGTGATATGTGATTGGAAAGATCTCATGATGTTTAGGAATGATTTTAGATAGCTAAACATGAGAAAAGACCGAAAAAATCAATATTTTAGGGTAGATCCGCGACGCTGAGGGGTATTTAATTTTTGGTTTCAAAAATGACTTTTTGAGGAAAAAAGGTCCGTGACGGTTCCGCGACGCGAAACGAATTTTCCCAATTTTGGGGACTAGCTCTGCGACGCGCCACCACTACCAGATTTCGTCCGATGAAAGTTCTTCTTCGTTTTTCAGCTCTAAACCCTCTAAACTCCATAGGTTCTTTTCCCAAACACTTAGAATTGATTATATGTTCAAAGTACATCAGATTCTACTCGAAAACACGACTAAAAACGTGAATCAATCTCAAGAAACTCCAATCAACACAACCCACAAGAATTCAAACGAAATTTATCAAGAACTCAAGGATTTACTTTCAAATCTAATAACTTCGCTGAAATTTAATCATGATTGGCGCGTGGGTGAACTAATTCAACGCTATGTGATCTCACATACCTTGTAGGAATCACC